GCTGCGCTGGAACCTATCCAGAGGCTGTGGAAAGCTGAAAAAAAAATGTTTTTCCCCTACTGGGAATGAAACCCTGATTTTCGGTCGTCGCGCCAGAAGTCAAGTCTCTATATCAACTCTAATCGCTTTAAATATGTTATTGACCTTGTTGGGTTTGGAATCTTCTGCCCTCTCCTCTCCTGTCTACAAAATCTGAGACTAAAATACGAACATTATCTTCTGAGCTGACCCAGTGTACAGTAGTCAGGTGGGTGCTTACCAACATTTCGGAGGAACCTCCTGCCTCCATCTTCAGCTCCTTTGTCCTGAACATGATGGCAGAAACTTCCTTCCACATGTTGGTAAACACCTTACCTGACTACACGGTGTCCAAACTTGTGTCATAATCATGAAGACCAAAACCCAAGTTGTCGTCGTCGTCGTCATGATGAACGCAAATTGTGTCCCTAACAGAAAGAGAAACTCGTACAGTGAGTGTGTTCAAAGGAGCTGCGAAGAATATTTTGATTCTGATACAGACGAAATATTAGAAAGATGATAGAGGAGCTTCATAATTTGTGCTTTTTACTAAAATTGCTATGATTACCGACGGAGCGACAGCCGCTTGTCGGCGAAGTTAGTGCCAACTTTAGCGGATAGAGGGTTTTGCGTGGTCAGAGCAATGAATCCCCATGGCAGTTGATTTCAGTGTTCTAGACCGGAGCCGTTATTTCCTTGAAATAGCTTCTCAATTATCCTCACGAGGCTGAGTTTACACCGTTCCAGACCCACTACATCTCAGAAAATCTGGTAGCGCCGGGAATCGAACCAAAGACCTCTGGATCTGTAGCCAGGAGCTCTGACCACTGAACCACAGAGGCGGTCCTTATGATATATCGCCATACGAAATATTACATGCATAGTTGCAATGATTCAATAAACTTTTCTATAAAAATCGATGACAAATATAGATTTTATGCCATTGTCCTTATTATTTATCCGAAAGGGAAATGAATTAGTATACGTCGCATATTTTTCGAAGATTTATTAATATAAAATATTTAACGGTGTAACGCTTTCGCTCCAGAATTCTGAACGGCTCTCAGTTTGGCATTCTCACTAATAGGAAATAAAGCGTAAAATGGTGGGGTGACTTTTAATGATGTGCTTTCATGTAATTTACAAAATTTGTTTGCAAATTTGTATGATTTCTAATTTGCATTCGCTGATAGTTTTCTACTATATAATTTGAAGATTTTGGAAGAAAGAAATGGTTATAAGGTATTCCATGCCTTCTTGTTTACTGTTTCTTAATGTTTACGGTTTTAATCCGATATCATTAATCCGCCATGCATTCTGGGAAATAGTGTGGTGCTCCCTCTGCTGTTTAGAGGCAATGAAACTCCAGAGTAACATTAGGGAAGTTCCAGCAGTAGCAGTAGGGTCCTGTTGCCGGAGAAATTAAGAACCCTTAGAACTGTGTCTGTATGCAGTTGCCAGAACAAAATGAAGCCTATTCAGCCACGGATTGGAGTTTTATACAGTTGCTTATAGGAGTTTTACTTGCTTCTGTGACAGCAATATGAACCTTATTCCGTTTTCACGATTTACCTCGACAACAAATATGGAGAGATAACGGGGATGAAAAGGGAGGCAGAAAGGAATGAAAATATTTCCTGCAGGAAACTCCTTTCCAGGGAATGTTCCCCAGCGGAACTGAATTTCTGTGACCACTATCCCCAATTAGGCTCCTCTCTTCTTTTCATTCCTCTGTTCGAAATCACTGAAATGTCTGTCTGTCTGTGAATGGCTTGGAATGCAGAGAGCAGTAGCTGCTCTCTGCATTCCAAGCCATTAACCTGCTCTGAAGATGGAGGCGATACGTTCCTCCGAAACGTCGGCCAAAACGAAGAATACACGGCGCCTAAACCCAGAAGACGTCTTTCTTCATAGTCATCGCCGTGAAAACCTCAAAACTTACATAAGAGGATGATAATTTTCGGTGTAAAAGAAAGGAATAAAGAAGAAAAAAGGCAATGCCACGCTGTATAGGAGGTGATGTAACGAGAGGCTGATGTCCGAGGTTCTGAGACAGGTGATGACAGAGCGCTTCCATGCTCAGGCTAAAGAACTGATATTAGCGCTAATCTTAAAGAGAAAATAAGTAGGGCTCGAACAGCCAGAGACTTTCCTTTCCTATCAATCGAGGTAGCTTTTGGTTTCTTTGTGACCCGCGCTACCTCATTTCTAAATCATATATATGCCGATAACTCACTAATCTAAACAATTTCCTGGTTAAGTATTGTAACTGTACTGCAAACAAAATAGGGCATAACAAACAAACAACAAATTCCGTGGCCTACAGTCCGCCAGCGAACTCTACCAACCGAGCGACTGCCGCTTGTCGGCGAAGTTAGTGCCAACTTTTGCTGATAGACGGTGTCACGTGGTCAGCGCAACGGATCCCCACGACCACTAATCTAGTTTTTTTTTAGATCAGAGCCGCTATTTTCTTGAAATAGCTCCTCAATTATCGTCAGGAGGTTGAGTGGACCCCGTTCCAGACCCACTGCTTCTCTGAAAATCTGGTAGCGCCGTAAATCGAACCCGGACCTGTGGATCTGTAGTCAGGAACTCTGACCACTAAACTACAAAGGCGATCTAATTATAAGTAACAACGTCAACAGAAAATTATGAAACGACATACGAATTATAATGAAGAAGAGCTCTAACTTTATGGACAAACGCAGATGCAAATTTATTGTTAAATCGGAAAAATAAATTTTCTAAACAATACAAAGCTCACAGATACAGAAAGTGATGAGATGATGGAAAAACAAAACTTCAGCTGCAGGATGGAATAGGAGACCATTTAAGACAAGGGGAAAGTAACAACGATTTGGGCAGTGACGAAGATAAGGAAGTCAGAAGAAGTTGCTGAGCAGCTTATGGCTACAGCTAAATTAAAGTAAAAACCTTCAAATGATGTGATATGAAGCGAAATCCCTGCAAACGCCTAAAGAAAAAACAAATATCTGCCAAAGCTGACAGAAAACAGTAAATTATATAGCTAAAGAAAGAAGTAAATGCAATACTTAACCCGAAGAAAACGAAACAGGCACAGTAGTCATATATCAGTTCGTGTAGCTACAGGAATATTTATTACAGAAACAAATATTAAACCTAGCAAAACATTGAAAAATAGAATTAACAAGGACTTTTGGAAAGTGAAAATGCAATGACAACTAAGGAACTGGAGAAACATGCTTGCTGTCCCTGGTTTGAGATCTGAAATTATTAAACTAAACATGAAAAGAATAATTTTCAGAAATATCAGGTAACAAAAGACGCAGTAATAGTACATTTGTTACAAGGACTGAAACAGAAAGTATGAGCAAATACCCAAAAATTTAGATGATATAAAAAAGGGAAAACCAGTACATCCAAAACAAAATGTTGTAGGAAAATATGAACTTTTTTTATATTTGCTAGTGAAATCCAGTGCTATCAAAAATCATTCAAACATGGTAGAAGTCAAATTTTGCTGGAAGTTATTGTGGAGCAAAAGAAATACAATAAAATGAAGAAGCAGAATGGCTAACAAGACATCAAAAAGGAAAAATTGCTGATATGAATTGGGCACCCGTAAGAAGCAACTGTATTGTTCTCTGAAACCGGAAGTGACCAAACACCAAACTGACTGAAGGCACTCGCGACTGCCCACAGTCATATAGTGAAAATCTTGAACCCAGTAATTCGAGAAGAGTCAGTAAATAGGTCAGAAATTGGTATGAACCGTAAAACATGTGACATGCGAACCTGGGAAACATAACTTCTCAACATACCCTCCGCCAACACTGATAAACTTGTCCCATCGCTTTACCGGTACATCAAAACCCGCAGCATACAAGCGTTATGACCAGGGCCCGGATTTTGATAAAATGTCATCCTTTTTTCCTTGTATCCTATGCCACGATCTTAAATATATAATCCTCGGATGTGAGCTGCTGGTTACAGAAATGTAAATTTTATAGATAATTTTTTGTCATTTTTAGGTTTAATGTAATTTTTAATTTTGGGGGTAATTTTTTGGTAAATTTTTGGACTTTTAAGGGTACTTCTTGTCATTTTTGGCCATTTTAGGGAATTTTTCTTCATATGTTTTCTGAAATGTGAATAACATGGAAGCGAAGTGTTCTTTCTTTTCTCCTTTAGGTCATTTTTCTGGATTTTTCGGTCATTTTATAGGTCATTTTTTTAATATTTTCAGGTCATCAAAAGCCGGGCCCTGCATATTACATTTTTGGGTCATATTTTAGGTAACTTTTCTGGATTTTTTTGGTCATTTTATAGGTCATTTTTTAAATATTTTCAAGTCATCAAAATCCGGGTCCTGGTTATGACTGTTGTCTCAGCCACTTCCGCACCGGGTCGGACATCATCTGCGACTTTCGAACATCCTTGAGAGAGTTTCTTCGACCCAGTTGTGAACCGTTTTATAGACAAACACTTCCCACCATAAACAGAAAATATTTCTTTATAAGTATCCTTTATCTTGAGTTCTTTTTTCCACAAAGAAAAGCACAACAGGACGCTGCTCTTCGGTAGTAAACTGCTCAAACATGATCTCCGGTTTGACTAATGAAACCATTTTCTAAACATGCGTATGCGCGTCTGCTACGCAGACTGTCATCAAGCTGGACTGTGCTGCCGCCTGGTGGTATACATAGAAAACCAATTAATCCATTAGAGCTGTTTTACTTCTAGCTGTAACTTATATTCTGACTTTGCCTCGTAGAAGAACCTAAACAGATGTCTGACTGGGTGACTACAGGAGTAACATAGCTACTTCCAAAATCAGAAGGAATTATGAATCCACCAAAATTACCTGTTTAAGAACTATGTATAAGAAACCGAAAGGATTAATTGCCAGAGCAATCTCATTGTATCTGGAAGAACAAATTTTATTACGTACTTACCTACCACTAGGCGTTACAGCCCTGGGTGAGCCTTGGACTCCTCTAACCAGTCTCCACTGCCCTCTATTCCTCATCTTCTCTATGCATCCTTCCGCCTTCATCTCCTTCAGGTCGTCCTCAACACCGTCTAGTTTTCTCATCCTGGGTTTTCCTTTTCTTCTTTTGGAATATTATCAATATAGAAAGAAGGATACCATTAAACGATGTTTTTGGAAGTAAACGATGCAAGGATCAGCTGTTGACAACAAAAACAATATTTGAATACTACAGGAAGAGAAGAGAGAACTCAGACATGGTATGCAATGATTATCAAGAAGCATCTGATAGTGTCTGCATAACTGCTTAGAACTGACAGGAGCGAACAATAAAATTATTAACTTTTATAAAGTGTTAATAGAGAAATGGAGCAAAACACTTCAGCCATTAATAAATCAAGAATTAATGCAGACAACACCCTTCAAGATAAATATCGGAGCATTTCAGGGTGATTAACTGTTGCCAGTTTTTCTAATAGTAAAACAGATGTGAATGTGCACATAAAATTCATGGAACCTAACGGGAAAAGGAAATTTGCTGTACTTGAATCCTTTGAATCTGACGGGAAAAAGTTAAGCAGAATTTAAAAAAGGAAATAAAATTATAAAAACGATTAGACATAAAACGGGGGTTGGGGTAGAATAATGGGCCAGAATTTATTTCTAAAGTGCAAAATTTTATTTGAAACAATACACAAAAAATAAAATTAGAATTAAATTAAAGAATTACATTTAGTGGAAGCATATAAATATTTGTGGACAGAAGTTGCCCAGAACATCAGAAGGAAAGGAGAGGAAGGAACATTGAAGGCGCATGTAAGAAGATTAAAACATTGAAAACAGAGCTCAGTGCAAATAAAACGAAAGCACTGGGATTGCCGGTGATACAAGTAATAAGATACAGTTTCGGAAATATGAACTGAAGTCAGAATGAGATACAGATCGGAGAGGAACACACGAAAATTGTAAACCATTCATGGATATTATCACCTGATCACAGATACTAATAGTTCCCAGAATAGACAGAGAAAAGGCTTGAAGCAAGTAAAAGTATGCATTAATATGGAAATTATGGGATTGATGGAATATTTAAAGGCAAGGATGCAAATTGTGAAGACACGCCTACATAATACGAACTCAGAAGTATTTAAAAAAGTAATAACTTCAAATAAATTTTTCGAAAGAAAAAGGAAAATAATAATAATAATAATGACACAGAATATAACAGAAAAATGAAAGAAAAAGGATATATGAACAAATTTCTAGTAAGTTTTGAGGTTTTCACTGCGATGACTATGAAGAAAGTCGTCTTCTTGGATCTGCTGCCGTGTATTCTTGGTTTTAACCGACGTTGCGGAGGAACATATCGCCTCCATGTTCAGGGCAGTTGAATTGCGTTGCGAATACAGAGAGCAGTAGCTGCAGAGCAAGAATACATGGCACCAGATCCCAGAAGACGACTTTGTTCAAATTTCTAGTAGTCTAAGCAAAATATTGGTGGATAAGGAAGAGTCTTACTGAGGGCTGAAATATGAAGACACACACACATATGTACATACATACATACACATGATATATATTTATATATACAATACATAATAATAACAGTAACAATAATAAAAATATAGGCCGCTCCATAACTCAAGCGGTTAGTCACTGGCTTCCCACCACGGCAGTCCGGGTTCGATTCCGGGTCTGCTCAAAGTGGATTTGTGGTGGAAACAGTGGCGCTGGGGCCGGTTTTCTCCGAGTACTTCGGTTTCCCCTGCCAATCTTCATTCCATCAAATTCTACATCATCGTAAACACCCGGGGCAGGGTACAATAGTCCAATCAGTGGCCACCGTGCCGAGTGGACCCAGCTGGACTCCATCCCCCACTAATTGAATTTTTTTAATAATAAAAATATTGTTACATATATGACATATCGAACAAGTTTCAAATAAAAGTACCGATAATAGAGAGAACTATATATTATGTCATGGATTAATTCCTTATGCGACTATCCATTTATAACAAATATAAGAAGTCCAGTGCTTACTTCGTTTGAAGTTGGCTGATGCGAAAATAAAGAAAATTTTGTCATAAACTCTTATAAAACGTAAACAAATAGATTTACTGACCAAGCAGATGTCCTGGCTTTTAGGCAGATGATCAAAACTATCCCTCGAAAACAAAATCCTTATATCCAAAACAGTAATTATACCAATTTGGACTTACGGCATTGAACTCTGTGGATGTGCTAGTAAGTCCAACAGCAACATTATCCAAAGAGCACAATCGAAAATCCTAAGGATGTTAGTCGACGCACCTTGGTATGTGTCAAACGAAACCCTACATCAAGACTTGAACTTAAAATTCGTGAAAGAAATCATCCTGGACAGAAGCCGCCAACACATGAGCAAAATTGAAACCCACGAGAACGAACTGTTGCAACCACTCAGGGAGCCAATCAACAATAGAAGACTAAAAAGGAAATGGCCAAATGACCTGATATAAAACAAATCAACTTCTGAAGAGGTAATGTCGATGGACATTTTCCTCGCATGACATGTAATAGTCCTTAGCGAAACCATTAACCTATAGAATGTACGTAATTCTGATTGTTAATAAATAATAATAATAATAATAAACTCTTATTGTACAATTTGAGAACCAATTCAATCGAATAATCGAAGTTTATTATGTTACGAAATATGCTGACGGAGAGACTAAAGTGGTCTATATTCTGTTTATGTCGTTGAAAGAAATCTGAGACACGCCGTTCTGGGGCGACAAGTGTCTTGCCCATATGTTACTGGGGTAGTGTAATCACTGAATCGAGTTGCGCGTCCTGTGCTCTTCTATGACGGATACATTTTGAACAATGAACAAATTCGCACGACGTTAAATGTGTTATATATAACCCACATTTTTCGCATAGTCGCCATGTTCGTAATTCCTATCATGTAAATAATATTTTATATAGAATTTTGCTTATGCTCTATCAGATTTTTTCTCCATGCAACATTTTACGAGTTCAGTCAACCGTTCTTTAGTCATGGCCATAAAACCGAGAGTAAAATGTAGGGTTGCCTCAACAGTTATGCTATTTTACATCACGAGAAAACCTCTTTTATTTGAACTTGCAAATTTCTCAAAGATCTGTTACCTAACAAACCGTCAGAACCTTATTTTAAGAGATGCATATGTTACTCCCTTCTCAGAAATTTGAATGGACATCGTGTTACTAAATTATTGTAACGAATTTGATTAACGCGTTGCAGGCAACAGCTCTGTAAACACGGTCCAGCACGCAACAATAGAAGAAGCTTTACTTTGTTTATCGTACTATGATGTTCTTAGAACATTTCACAGAAGTTCGTCAAATTTGATGAAAGTTATTAATGGAATACAAACACCCGTATATGATAACACAACGGCCTGTTACCGACAAAGTTGGCTCCGTGGTTACGTTTCTGACTTACATTCGGGAGGTACTCGGGTCGAAATAAGTTGAGACTCCGACAAACCTGATTAGGTCTTTAGTAGATTTTCTCAGTCCCTCCAGGTAAATTCCTGGTTATTCCCCTAAATTAGGCCATGAAAGTTCACTTCCGCATCCTTTCCGATTTATTATTCATGTTAATTGCCATATCATTCGACTCTGCGCTTTCTGTATTACTGACAGAGTCATTTAAATAAACTGACCGCTTCTGTGTCTAGCGGTCAGAGTTCCTGACTACAGATCCAGAGGTCCGGGTTCGAATCCCAGGGCTACCAGATTTTCTGAAAAGTAGTGGGTCTGGAACGGTATCCACTCAGCCTCGTGAGGATAACTGAGGAACTGTTTCAAGGAAATAGCGGCTCCGGTCTAGAAAACCGAGATCAACGGCCTTGGGAATCCGTTGCGTTGACCACGTGACATCCTTTATTGGCAAAATTTTGCACTAACTTCGCCGACAAGCGGCGGTCGCTCGGTCGGTATAGTTAGCTTGTGGACTAAAGCCACGGACTCTATTTGTTCTGTTTGTTTGTTATCATTTAAATAAACTGCGAACATGTATACACGTACGTTTTCTTTCAGATACGGAAGTACTCTAGAAATAGATCTAACGAGGTTAGAAAAAAGGTTTTAACTCTGATAGTTTCTGCAATGTTGGACTACTTCTGTATGTTTATTTCCTACATCAGCGCATGCTCATAGGACAATCGTCACAGCTCCTCTGCAACATTTGATTACTGGTCATTATTACAGGCCCGCTCTTCCGAATGGTGCGATCCTGTATATTATGGCAAAAGTTCGCCCCTGAAATTGAAGAACAGATGTTGGAGACTGAGGGAGGAATATTGCGCCGTTACAAGGGTGAAGATTGTAGAACACGGATAAGGGTCATACAGAAGGGGTAGGATTTCATTTGTGGCAGAGGGGGTGAGGATTGAAGTGTAGAGGTAAGGGGAGAATGTAGTCCTGTAGGGGTATTATGTCCAGTGATGACCGGAAGTGTTGGTCATCCTCACCACAGATATCTGGCTGTAGGGTTGGTTGAGGTTTCAGGAAGAGGAGAGGCGTGGAGGAAAGGGGTTGATTGCCTGACTGCTGCTTCGGCCTCATTTGCATCCCAGACCTGCTAAAACTACAAGAAAGTATATGTGCTACACATTACACATGCAAAATAATTAAAGGAAGGTTGTAATATTGGACGGCCTATAAGTACAATACTTGTAAGCGCAAAATGTCAAGTACCAGTTAATACTTGCATGCATACGAGTAGTCTGTACTTGTAACATTGCTAAAGTCAATTAAAACGGTTCACAGAATCAGACAATTTTCTTGCAATTATCTGCGCAGCTATAAAACATAAAGGAATTTCTGAATTTTACTATTTGTGCTCTGTCTTTCATGCCGTAAAGTACAAGATTAATTTCAAATTATTTTTTAAAATATTTATATTACATTAAATAGTTTCAATTCGTAAGTTGACCATAATATTTCAATTGATGTTCCAGTTTAATTGAAGTGAACAAGTGTACTCCAATTTAGAGAATATATTCTTTCAAATCAATTTTTTATGATTTTGCGTAACTTGCTGATCATTTACAGTCGACCCGAATCTAATGTTACAGAGCCGCTAGCATTACAAATATCATAGTGCATAGAGGTGTACTATAAATTTCGTTTTATATCGTTAACATAAATAAACGCCATGTTGAAAGGATTT